GGGATCCTACATTAGGCCAACAGTAGAATTCTAGTTTGTAAATGTTCAGTTTTGCCACCTTTGCCATGACTCTAGGTTAATTTGATAATCAGGCTATAGAGAGATCCTTTCAAAGTCTCTGAATTCTTGAACACTGAATTTTCTAGAATGCATTTCTTCTTGGCTACATAGGTGACCCCCTGTTATTGGAATAAGCCCAGGTCAGATCTGTCTAGGATGTCCCTTCAACAATCCTTTGTAGTCTGCTTTCTTCCAGTGTTTACTTTCAACCTCCTCAGGGAGGGAATATGCTACAGTAATGAAACTATATTACAGTAATTAAAGTCAGCCACATTGAGAGAGCCAAGTAAAAAGGGCTCCCCGGAGAACCTCTGACCAGCCTGCGCACTGGGAGAATGGGGTGGAGCCACGGAAGTTCCTGTCGTTTGCAGAGGGGAGGAGCCTGGTCCCTCAAGTTCCTGTGTGATGGGGCGGGAGCCGGTTAATCGGCTTCCCTCCTGCTCTGCTGAAAAGTTTTCTCTTTTTCTTTTTTTGCCCAGTAAATTGTTTTTCTTAGCCCTCTCTGTGTCCACGAGCCTAATCTTTCCTGGCCATGTGACTAGAATCCGGTTTTAGCTGAACTGAGGAGAAAGTCCTGCAACAATATTTGGTGTGATAGACCTAACCATGCCTTCAGGTATGCTTACACTTGTCATCTTCCTACTTAATTCTGGGCTTGTTCATGCAACTGATTTTGACCAATGGGACTTAGCAAGCTTGATACCAGGAGAGGCACTTGCAATGGGGATTGTCCTTTGCAAAATTCCTTGGAGGCTGAACTGCATGTTATGTGAAAAACCAGGCTATTCTACTATAGAGACAGGACATGTGGACAGCCATCACAAGACCACTCACCATATAGAAAGAGGGGCTACAGGGAAGGAAACTGAGACCCCCAGTTAATCTCTTAGTTGAATGTAGCTGCATGAGGGATCCCTACTGACACTGAGTGGAGCAGAATAATTGCATAGTCAGCCTACTCTCAGCATCATGAGGAATAACAAATTGTTATTTTACGCCACTGAGATTTAGGGTGCTTTCTTCCATAGAAATAGATAATTAATAGATTTGGGGTTAAATTCAGCCTCCATTATTTGCTGAGCTATGTGACTTGGGTGAGTTGTTTAAGCTTCCTAATCCTCAGATTCTTGAGCTCTAAAGTATATTATCATTTCCACAAATCTGTGGGATGGATCGAATACTGAATATAAATAATTTGGCACAAGACCTGAGCCATAGTAAGTGCTTAATGAGTTGTAGCAATTACCATCAATTTCATCATTTCAGTCATCATCACCGTTATCACAAATATCATAACTACGTGCACCCATGCCAACATGAATACCACAACATTGCCACCAACACCTTCATGACAGCTAGTGCTTTCATGATGCCCTTAGTGTCTACTGCCATGGGAAAATCAATTCTTTTCATCAAGACATTTTTAAACCATACATATACATAAAACTTATATTATGCTAAAAGACGATGTGAAGTAATAAAAATAAGTTATTTACATGTCCCTTTACATCTTTTAATCAGGTTACTAAACAGGTAAAGAGATTTGACAAGATCATTCAGAAAGCAAACAGAATGGCTATATTTGTTTATGTCTTCATGTCATGAATGCTGAGGTCTTTTTTAAAATTCTGGCTGTTCTAAAAATAAAAGCTTGCATCTCCCACTAGAAGGACATCTCCATAGGGGAGGAGATTTTATTGTTATTCCCTTTAGTGCTCTATTCCTAGTATTTTTTAAATTGCCTAGTATATAAAAGCTCCTCCAGAAGTGTTTGTTGAATACATGGATCAATTCACAACTGATTGGAGGTTTACAGAACATGTATTGTAGAGCCAGAGTATTTGGGTTTGAATTCCAGTTCTAACACTTACCGGTTATGTAAATTTTAGCAATCTAATATTTTTGTGCTTCAGTTTTCTTATGTGTAAAGAGGATAATAATAGCATGTATTATCTAGGATAGTCCTTATAAATATGAAACTCTGAACAGTGACTGGCAAATAGTCATCACCATGTAGTTCTTAGTTATTATTATCTTGTTATATGAGCTCTATTGATGCATAGAAGAGTATATATAAATTATTGGTTTAAAGAATGGGAATATGTATGCATATTGAAAGAAAGTCAAGAAAGATGGTGTTGTGTGGTTTAAAACAATGGCTTCCACACTCCATTTTTTATTAGAATCATATGGGATGATTATTATAATTCAGATCCCTGCCCACCCTACTCCTCCTTCCATGCTCTATATTTGTAAGAATTGCACCAAAAGATCATGTTTGCATACTCAGCTTTGGAATGCAGTGAAATCAAATGAATTTTAATAATGCATGTTCAGATACCATATGATTTAATTAGAGGAGATATTTTGGTACAGGGATTTTTCCATTGACCTATAAATTCAATCTTGTGGGGAGCTGTGCATTCTACCATGTCTATACCATGTGCCAGTTGGATGTCTTCTCTGTCTTTTCTACCTTTCCTCTTCCTCCCCTTACCTGAGAGAGAATATGACTACTTTCAGGTGATGATGACCCTCCCAGGAACATTAAAAAAAAAAAAAAGTATGGAATCTAGTGGGTCCTTGCTACTCAAAGTGTGGTCCACAAAGCAGCAACACAAACATCTTTTTACCTTTCTTCTTCTTACCCTTAGAGAGAAGATGACTACTCCCAGGTGATGCTGACCCTCCCAGGACATGAAAACCAAAGTATGGAGTCTAGTAGGTCCTTGCTACTCAAAGTGTGGTCCACAAAGCAGCAACACAAACTTCACTTAAGAACTTGTTGAAAATGTAGAATTTCAGGCACTAATATAAGGGAATGGTTCTCAACTCCATTTCCAGATATAATTACCAGGGAGCTGAAGCATCAAAGTTTAGATGTTAGGCTACATGCACCTTGAGAAACTCTGAGTTAATTGGTTTGTATGGTACCCAGGTCTAAATATCCTTTTCAACTTCACAGGCGATTCTGATATGCTACCTGGTTTAAGAAATGAGAGTTTTAGCAGAAAACTTTGATCAATTTTGAAACTTCTACTTCCATGGCCTTCTCCATCACCTACAAGACTTTCAGGGTTTCAGAAAATTCTTCAGATTTCTTTGCACCAGTAGACTAGGCCTCTTGGCCCCCAATATTTATGGTTACTAACAAACCCTACCAACTTTGCCATCTATCGTCTTTTCTCAGTTATCTTGAGCTCTGAACAAGCTGAAGAATTAGACTAGAAAGTATTCATAATGTCAGTAGGAATGTGACACAAAACCAAAAGCATTTTATCACATTTTCAAGCAAAACTCAAGTACTTTCGAGCCTAATAATGATGATAATGACTACTTGTATTATGGTTAGGACTATCTACCCCACAACCATTTTTGTTGCTTTTTGTAATTAGACTATTACGAGGTGATTATATGATTGCCTTTGAGTAGATTGCAATATTAGAATAATATATTTATATTTTTGTAAAATCTTGTGCATTGTTCACTCAAAAATTACTTGGCTGAAAGAGATTGACTTTCTTTGATCCTTTACAGTTTACCCTGGAATAATCAGGTAATAACAGGGAAAACAGACATAGAAGCTCTTCAAGACCCAGTTCTTTTTGTATGTGGCTGAACTAAAACAGCATTTTTGCTATAATCTTAAGATAATCTTTGAACAGTGAATCAAGAGCACTAAAAGTCAAATCCAAATCAAACATTTGAAAATTAATGTCTTGATTGAAGTCCCTTGGAGAGGAGTCAAAGGGAGAGATTTATTTATATACTACCTTACTATTTACAGTGTGGTCTTTAAACCAGCAGCTTTGCATTACCTGGGAGCTTATAGAAATCAAGAATGAAGATTCTAGGGCCCTACTTCAGCTCAGATTCTAAATCAGTATCTGCATTTTAACAGATAGCCCATATTACTCATAGACAAATCAAGGTTTGAGAAGCACTAATGTAATATATGATAAGGCATTTAACTTTTTTCTCCAACATTTGCTTGTTCTTAAGTCACAACACATACACCATCTCATACAGTTGCTCTATTCTTTCTTATCCAAAACCTATGTAAATTTTTTTACACCTTCAAACTTGTTATCCTCCTGCCAACCAGCTCCCACTCTGGCCATCTCTTATTTTACCAAGCAGTCTACTCTGAGGGAAGGGGGAGGATGCTATACAAAGACACTCTTTCATAACATTTTCCTTATTGCGGTTGAATAAGAACAAAAAACGCAATACTTTCTCTGAATCTACTCTAAACTGGTCAACTCTCAAGAAGTAAAATGAGTAACAATTTGATGTAGAGTTTTCTTTTTTTCTAAGTCTGGAAATGTGCAGAGAATCCTTGAAAATACCAGTTTACCAGCGCACAAATATGTTGTGTTTATTCTTCCAAGAGAGGCATAAATGGGTAGCAACTTCTCCAGAGATGAACTATATTAATCCACGTTATACCCACTCATCTTAATTTCCAGTGAATAATCATAGCAATATAAGGCAATTATGTAAGTTAAGGAATAGAAATTATTTTTTTTCTTTCTCTCATTGTAAGGATAATAGAGAAAACAAAAAAATAACTTTCTTTTTGTCAGGAAACACTGGGTATTCTGCTATCACTATGAAAACCATAAAATATTTCTTCTAACTACTAAAAGAGTAACTAACAACTGGATATTACTTTCCCAGTACATTGAGAGATTGTTAAAGTTTGAGTAAGTGAAGCATTTGTGAAAATGAACATCTCTGGTGACAAAATCTGGTTGAAAACTAAAATCTTAGTTTTAATTGAAAAGAAGAAACAAAACATCCTAAAATTCCTAATGGATTGCCAGAAGGAAACTCATTCAAGGAATTTTAACAAAAGGTTTTATAGGTAAAATAAATTCTTTGAAATATCAAAAAGAAAAGCATTCCACGCAGATATGAGATGAGCAAAATAAACTTACCACAGTTGTTCAGTTAATGGACAGGCACCATCATCTGAAACAACAAAAACGTATTTTGATACCGTGATCATAAAAACAAAACCTTTCAAATTGTCTTCAAACACATGTTATGAACATATCTCCAGAAGCAAAATTAAGTAAGCAATGAAGATACATTGTCTGGTCTCCATCATTTATTTCAGATGAAAGTGTTTCATCACCACTATTTTGGGGCTAAAACAGATTATTAGGTTTTTTTTTAAAAAAAAATTTACAGGCATATCTGGCATATATATGTATTGCACCAATATTTTCTTCTGATATACATGTTTAAACAGCAGAAATACAGAGAGTCATCTCTTTAATACAGTCTTGGTCCTGGCACAAACACAATCTTGAAATGCTTGTCCTTACACACAGCTCTGACAGTGTCATATACTTATATGCCATATGCTTTTATGACACCTTCCTTAGCTCAAAAATTCTCTCTGTTGCCTACCCAAAACAAGTTAAAGTATTTAGCACAGTGTTCAGGAGCTTTAGGAGGTTGCTTCTATTCTAACTTTTAATGATTCTTTTCCATAATTCTCCATGCATATACTCATGCTACCTTTCAAATTTATCTCCCACTATTTTCCCTTGTACCCTGGTCTCAAATTATAAGCCCACTTTCCCTTCCTTCCCTCCCTCCCTCCCTCACTTCTTTCCTTTCTTCCTTCTTTCCTTCCATACTTCAGTTTACTCCATTTGCCCTGCCTCAATATTTTTTTCTACCCTTTCCTTATGGCCAGCTCAGTTAACATCTCTTCAATACAACTTGTCTTGACACTTAGAGAAGAAATTATTCTCTTTCTAGATGTTCCCAACATATTTTATATCTTTTTAACAGTACTTATCATATTCTATTTTGTGTGTTTATCCCGTATTGGTGTTTATGCCTTAACCCTGTTCATTGTTCCCTACCCAGAAGACTTCCTGCTATGCCTCTGAAGGAGATGTGCAGAAAATGCTAGTTGAGCTAAAGGAAACAATTCATTTAGTGTATAGATAGCCTATGGTGCACATTTTCCATATTTCATCAATCATTCTTTAAGTGAAAAGTGCATTTTGCATTGCAATCTCTGCTAATAAAACTTGACTGTTAAAGACATAGTGATATACCCTATGAATAAAACTTTTTAGTTTCACAAAAAATAAATTAAGCAATTGAGGGTGAAGAGAATATTCTTTATTGATAAATTTTAGAAAAATTCTTTAATACTTTTTCTACCATATGGGAATACATTTTCTTTTTATAGTTTTTAGATTAAAAAAAAAACAACAACAACATGTTTTTCCCCTGCTGGGTTAAATTTTGTATGGAAAGGTGATAAGTTAGTGTTTTGAGGAACAGTGACAGATTTGCTTTAAACTATGAACATGGTCACCCTATAAGCAAGATGGAAGTTACTAGCATAATCTTAGAAAAGAGAACTTATAAATTACAGGGTCAGAGGTCAGAGGGCATTAGTCTATAGAGTTTTATGACCTGTAGCTGACAATTATTTCTCTTGGGTAGAGGAGCAGGAGAAAAAAAAAAAAAAAAAAAAGAGAACTTGTCTTCTTATGGAAAATGAAATAATAACATTGCCTTTTTGTTAATTTTATGCTCTTATCCAACTATGCCAGATCAGACTCTGTCTATATGAAGCATACAGGTGTATTACATACCCACAAAGTCTCATACTTTACTATTCTTCTGGGCCCACTATCACTTCAGACTTCAAAAAGTTGTCAAACAATTCTGTGCAGTTACTCATGTTAGAGTTTTTTGTGTTGTTTGCCTAAAATAATTATAAATCCACTATTCTATTTCATTAAGATTTATTTTTACTGTCACATGCAATATATTACATATCAAGAGAAAGTATTATTGAATCATAAAATTTTAAATAACAGATGTAAAGACTTTAACATAAGTATTTAAAATAAAAGCACTGGTTTCTTAATTTGGTAAGAAGGAGGACTTTATGAGGTTCTTTGTACCTAAGAATAGAATGTGATATATAAACATTCAGTTTCTTGGATTTTGTGTTCTTCATTCCAGTCCCCTCTAGTTCTAATCATAGGAGGAACATGACCTAAAACATAATTAAATTTTTTTTCCAAAGTAATTGTGGTTTAAAGACACCCTTAGAGTAGAATAATACTCAGTAATTTGAAATGTGTTGGTAGTCTGAGTTTACATCTAGGTTATTAGTGGACATTTTCCCTTCCAAAAGTCAAAGTTTTCAGTGTCCTAATACGGGTTTCTGTGTCCCTACCCAAATCTCATCTTAAATTGTAGCTCCTATAATTCCCACATATCATGGGAGAAACCCAGTGAGAGGTAATTGAATCATGGGAGCAGGTCTTTCCTATGCTGTTCTCATGATAGTGAGTAAGTCTCATGAGATCTGATAGTTTTATAAAGGGAAGTTCCCCTGCACATGCTCACTTGCTTGCTGCCATATAAGACGTGACTTTGCTCCTCATTCACCTTCTGCCATGACTGTGAGGACTTCCCAGTCATGTGGAACTGTGAATCAATTAAACATCTTTCCTTTGTAAACTACCCAGTCTTGAGTATGTCCTTTATTAACAGAATGAGAACAGACTAATACAGGTTCTAAATAATCATGGAAGTACCTTAAAAATATTAATAAAAGTGAAGTGAATTTTGTTATAATTACTAATACATATCATCTATATTATTTTGACTTTCTTAAAAAAGTAGAGTGTGGACCTAACTTTACCTATTGATTTTTTTTTTTTTGGACTGGCACTGATAGATGAGTAAATAGAAGAATATGAGTTGTAAGTACACCTTGATTTATTGCTGCCTTGCATTTCTGTGCCAGAGGTAATAGAGTTGGGTAAGGAACTGCAGAGATCTATGGGTTCCTACAAATAATGACTCAATGGCAGTATTCCATTTTATTCAGACGGTAACAAAAATTTAACTAAGAAACTCTCCTTGGAGAGAAATTTAAAGCAGGGAATATTTAAATGTCCCCAGTATCTGTTCTGTGGACATTTAAAAGGAGATATTCTTTCACATGATTGAAAACACCAAATAAAAGGACCAATAAAAATCTGTCCTTCTAATACTACAAAATATTTTCAATGATCTATAATTGTTAACTGTGGATCTGATTCACTTCCTTTATCAAACCAAATTTTTTTTCTGTCCAAATCTATTTTCCATTCATTTCCACCATGCCTGCCTACCCCCCACAGAATTTTGATTAGGTCCTGAGAGTGGCATATGGAAAATACAGAAATCCTTCTAGTTAAAACAGACAATTACTAAGTGTATAACTATCGATTCAGAGAAGAAGGAAGATACTGTAAACAATTTTGGAGCTTTTGCTTTGACTCTCGAGATGCTGGTAAGAGTGAGGAAGTGGAGTTAAACCAAAACAAGTGATTTATGGATAGCATATGGACCTACAGAAAGTTACTCCTAAAAGAAGTTTCCTGAGAACCTTTCAGATGCAAATTTATTCAAATAACATTTAGAATTAGCCATCCACTTCTCCATATTTGACCATTTAATTCTTATAAAGGGTGTCTATTTTCTATAAAAGAATCCTGGCATTTGAATGCAGGAACAGAATACTAAGTTGGATATTGTCCCAATATTGTGATCATATGATCTGTTGGAAAATAAAGTGAAGAAAAAAATTAAATATGTATCATTACCTTCTCTGTATATCTGTACTAAGCAGGTGGTAGGAATAAGCCAGCTATTTCTGTATTGACTTGTAGAATCAATTATAGAAATAATTATAAAAATAAATGCAAACAGGTACTCATTCGGGGCATATAAAATTATTTTGCAATGAAATTCTTATGAGTTTCAATAATATCACTGAAACACATACCTGCAAATATAATACATATCATCTCTGCCTCTTTCTGTCACACACACGTACACACGTATACAGATATAGATCTACAAGTAGTCAGAGAAATCCCCCTTTTCTAATTACATCAGGTATCTCTTTCCTGTGGCATTTCCTTTTTCTGATACCACAACTCTAGACCTTATTTCTCATACCAGTCAGGAGTAAGTCCAGGACTTGGACTGAAGTGGCAGAAGGTGAACAGTAACAGGTCAGGGTACTGGGTTCGATGGGTAATTGGTATTACTGACCTTACTACATATAGTCTTAAAACAGCCCCTGAGCAAAAAATACAGACCAGCCTTTCTCCATAAAACAGGAAGGCCAAATGTTAGTTGTTTTTTTTTTTCTTTTTTTCCCCTAAAATACAAATAATTCTTTCTGCAGTCATTGATATGGTTTGGCTGTACACCCACCCGAATCTTATCCCCAAATCCCTATGCATCCGGAGGGACAACTGAATCATGGGTGGTTATCTCCATGCTACTGTTCTCCTTATAGTGAGTGAGTTCTCATGAGATCTTATAGGTTTATAAGGGGCTTTTCCCTCTTTGCTCAGCACTTCTTTCTGCCATCATGTGAAGGAGGTGTTTGCTTCCCCTTCCGCCATGATTGTAAGTTTCCCAAGGCCTCTCCAGCCATGCGGAACTGTGAGGCAATTAAACCTCTTTCATTTATAAATTACCCAGTCTCAGGCAATTCATTATAGCAGTGTGAGAATGGGCTAACACAGTCATCATCGTGAGTTCTTTATGTTTATTACAGGGTAAACATAAAAACACAAATGAAAGTTGGTTCATTTTTGCCAAAAATATGTGTCAGATATTGTAAACCAACAGTAAACAATATTAACTGAAATACTGGATAAAATATGACAAATATAATGTATTCTTGAAAAAATACAGTACAGAAATGTTCAGTGGCTAGTACCAAAGAAAAAAGTGAAAATGGATAATATGAAGTTAGTGATATTTGGATGTTCCCTGGGACATCTGTCAATCTTAAAGAAGAGCCTTGGGATCTCTAGGAGAAATGATAAAAAGTCTTTCCTAAAAATCTCTCAGAAATGTTTCAGGTTTGAATTTATACCATCCACAAAGACAAAGAAATCCTAAAGGGAGATTAAATG